CTGTAATCAATTCTGTTATTGATAGATTTATTTGAGCTTGTTCAATTTGATTGGCTGATGTAACTGTTTGATTACCAGTGTCCGATTACGACCAACTCTCCGCTTACAACAATATGAAGTTGTAAAAATTAAGGCAGGTCATCCACCAATCATATTGGAGGAAACTGTGATGGTATGATATACTAATTATAAGTACAGTTTAGCATGGCAAATATTACTATGATAGTCAGTTACGACACGCATGCATGAAGAATATTAAGGCAAGGTGATCGCAAAAATGTATTTAAGTCTTGCCGACTCAGTCCCATTGTGTTAGCTGCAGCGAAAGAAGTTTGAAAATGTTTACTCACAGTGTTTTGAACGGGAATTTATACGTTTTATTACATGGCCTGTATTTAAATTTTAGTGAGATCGATATATATTTTTCGAAAGGACAATTTGAAATGTTCCTATGATTTCAAGAACTTGCCTTCCTCTGCGTGTAAAGAGGCCAGTTTTGCCTTTCCAGCTGTTCGGCATTGATATGTACCTTCATCTTTGTTCGTCTTCTCGTTTATAAGCTTTATGCTTAGTATGCTGTGGCATTCTGGGGCATCTGAAGTTACAGTGACCTTCACCCTTGAATTGCCTTTTGAAACATTTGAATCACTGTTCTTGTTTGGCTTGGAATGACAAGTGGCAGTGAGGCTGAAAATTCCGTTGGAACTAACTGAATTACTTTCATTTTTTAGGTCTTCTCGTTTTTCTGTAAAAAAAAAATACAATTAAAAGGTGAGAAGAAATGGATGCTATGTTCGGAAAGCATCTGTAATAATAGAGCAAGCGGAGCAAATGTGACACTCTCTCCATTCGCGTTGACTCAAGAGGCATAACCTTAGTAGTAATCATAGCTCATGTTTCAATGAGACTATTTTAGCAATTAGTACAGAGCCAAGTGAATTTCCCCTATTTGAAAAATCATGCCCTTGTCATGGAGATCTTTAAAAAAGATTTTCTACCGTGTTTCCACATGGATGAAGTCAAGTCCTAGATACAAACTAAACCGGGTCGCCACATAAGGATGGCGACTCCTGATTCTTTTTCACCAACGACGTTCTTTGCAATGCACTTACATTTTCCATAATCTTCCTTCTGTACATTTGTTATTTTAAGCGGTTGTTTTTGTCGTCTTGAACAAGACATGCTCTGAGTATTTTAGAGGATATAAATTATTGTCCCTCATCCACTGAGTTGTTGGCCTCGGAAGACCGTTAGCAGCACGATTAAAAGTTACAGTGGAATTGATCAAGACACTTCGGTTTACTGGATGTTCAACTAACTCAGGTATATGGGTATCTCCAGAATAACAAAAAACATGTTTATTCTGGTATTTGACAATGTGTGGGAAACTCAATAGAAGGGAGTAGTTTTGTAAAATATGAGAAATCCGAAACGTAGGTGGAAGAATTATTTTACCGAAAAGGCAGAGAAAGGGAAACTGAATAGAGAATAAAAATCAGCGGACAGTCTTAGTATTTAGCTGTACATTTTAATTGAATTTCGATAACATTAATATTCCTTTTCACGCTAAAACTTCTCGTCTTCGACACAAAAAAAAATGCTTAGCCTATGAGGCTGCTTAGAGTGAGTCGCTTACTGCAGATCAGATATTAAAAATGGGGTCTAATCTGAGTCAATAAGCGGAAGTCAAGTCGGAAAGTTGCTTAGCTAGGGAGATGATTTCCCAGCAGGATTCAACTGATGCACTTGAGACCTAATATCTCGCACAGGACGCTCTACTGTTAATAAATGGTTAAAACTTGTGAGGGGTCGTAAATGGAAAGTTTTTTTCTCACCTTTCGGGCTCAAGACGGCCAATAATGATACCTTTTTTCCAACGCTGTTCATTGCCACACATTTATATACGCCAAAATCCTCCTTCTTCACTTTCGTTATGAAGAGCTCACTGTGGATGCTTTTCTTGTCCTTTGCACTTGAGTTGGATTGCAAGGTATGAAAATCATCGTTCTTGATCCATGAGATACTTGGCTTGGGAAGACCAGTAGCATTGCAATCGAAAGTGACATTGGAATCTATGTAAACACTTTGATTCATTGGAACCTCTAAAAAAAACTGGTGCAGCGCCTGGAGGGAAAGTGTGCACTTGTATAAATACAATCAACTCCCACTAAGACGACACACTCGGGAATTGGAAAAAGTGCCCGTTAGTAGAACTGTCTGCCTCCAACAGCTCGCTTTCCCGCTGAGAAATGGAGATGTAACAAACCTGATCCCAACTGTTCTGTTTCTCTATCAATTGAAACTCATATTTTGCTGATTTGCAACGTCAAGAAAATTTTGTTTGCCTAGAGTAATAATTTATCCATGGGGTTTCGCTTACGAGAGATCGCAAACAAAAGAAAATTCGCATTTTCAATTTCTTAAGTGTCAAAAGAGGGATTGAGAAAAGTGTCCGTAAGTAGAAACATCCGTTTACGAGAGTGGCCGATAACGGGGAACTGACTGTTTACGCTTTTTTCCATGGAGATATAAGGTTCACCGGGATTTGAGAGAGAGAGGAAAGGATTCCCTTTACATTTTCCGGCCTTAGATGACTTAAATACTAAAGAATAGCAACGTTTGGCCTGGAACCAGTTCCTCTTCCACAAAATATGAAGTACTTAAAGTCAATTGATTCTCTTGACATTTAATTCAATCTTTCCTTTTCTGGAAACTTATTAAAACAAACAAACAAACAAACAAGCAAACAAAAAAATAAAAATAAATAAAGGGGTTAAGTTCCTAAAGAAACTGTGGTGCTCCGTCGGTGGGAGATTACAACAAGGTAATTTGGAGTCCTCAACTGAGTTGAAATGTAAATTGGCTACCGTAAAGAGTTTCAAAGCCAGCGTTTCGAGCGTTAACCCTTTGTCAGAGAGAATGAAAACAAAAATTTAATTATTCAAGGTTGCCTTCCGTGTCTTGTAAGTCAATTGTCAGTTATAGCCACTACCTTAATGTTGGACTCCCATATCGACGAACAAGGTTCTCTATTCGAAACTATCACTTACACTCGATTATGCATCTCGCATTTTGAAAACTAAACGAGAAATAAAAATACATTTGCCATCAAGCGAAACCCAATGCGCGATATTCACCTTTCCCAAACAAGGGCGTGGGGTGTTTAACGTCACGCAAACAAACAAACAAACAAAAAAAGGAATAAAAAAAGACTGATAAACGAGCTATGATGAGATACTTACCTATTGCAAATGATTGCCTTGTGCAATGTTTGCTATAATGATTGCCCGCTTGGCAAATATAGTGGCCAAATTCGTCTTCTGTCAAATTTTTAAACACCAACGGGCAGCTGAATTTTCGTTTATACGCAAATATGCTTGAAGGCTGCTGGCATTTTGCTCCAACCTCTGTACCATTTGGGTTGTACCACTGAATATACTTGACCCATCTATTCATATATCCTGCATCTATAGTTCTCGGCTCCGCTTTACAAGTCAGAGTTATGGAGGCACCAACGGCTAAACTGACATTTTCTGGACTTGGAGAGATGACGACAACGGGTCTTACTGTACAATAGAGAAAACTAGTTCGTGAAAAAAATATTAGGAAAATATGGTTATCTATCTCTATTCCAACCGAGGACGACAAAGATGAGGAAAAAAAAAAGTATAAAAGAGTAGGGCCATTCTTTTTGTACCATGGGGTTTCACTACTTACTTCTGATGTTGGAATTGCACGTTTCGCCTTTGACAAACGTCGGTAAAAAAACAAACTTATATGATACCCTCGAATCTCGCGATACTCTAAAGTCTTAAGTTTATTTGTTGCAGTAAAATCTATCTCGACACTGAATATGGAACACAGCTTTAAATTGGAAATAGAAATTCAAAAAAATTAGCCGTCGTCCTTCACGTTCCCTAGACAACGCAAAGAAAGTTACAAAGGTTTATGACGCACGAGTACAGCTATTGTTCTGCTCATCAAACCTCTTGTTTAGTGACGTTCCCGTTGCCGTTTCCGTCGTGGTTTCCTTAAACTCCCGGTTGTTTTTCTCTTGCTGACGCACATCGGTAATGATAGGTGTCACGAAATATTGATATTGACGAAACCGGGGCCTACGGAATCGGCTAAACCTCAAATTTGCACTTTTTCTGAAATGCGATTGACTTTCGGTGCCAAATTATTTTCACTTCCCTGCTGATAAAGGTCTTTGCCAAACATTTGAATGAGTTATTTCACACTTTTTAATCGTGTATTTTAGAGAGAGATACGCTCGTGGTAGGGATTTCAATATGATTTCGTGTTTCAATAAATATATACAAAGTTTATTTATTTATTTATTTATTTTCTTATATTTTTCTTATTAAGCGCATGTGGAGGATCTACATCACTGTCGAAGTCAGGATCAATAATGTAACACAGTTCATAGCTTCCATATTCATTTCTTTATTCGCAGTTCTTATATATGATTTTCATATAGTTACACTGACAGTTTCCAGCACTCTAAGACGAGTGTGGTTTCCTAAAGAAATAAAAAAAACGTGCAAAGTGCATTGTTTAGTGATATGAGCACGCGGGAATTTTTAAGAACACGAGAGAAGTGCGGGGAAGCACGAGCCGAAGGTGAGTACTTCTTGCACTTCTCGAGTGTTCTTAAAAATTCCCAGGTGTTTATAGAACTCAACAATATTGTTTATTTCTTCTATTAGTGTATCGTGAATTGCGCGCGCTCCTACCGATGACGTAAGCTGCGTGCATTGTATCTCAACAGTGTACTCTTGTGACGTAAGGCGCGTGCTTTATGGAAATATATACATATGTAAATGAGGCTAATCACATTATGCAGAATAAATTTCAAAGTGCTTTGATAACGAGTTTTCACAAATAGAACTAATAGCATTGTATTAATTGAAACTACGATCTATATTAGACCTTTTCCTACTTAAAGGGTATGACATAATTTGCACATTTTTACATATGCGTTATAGCTTGATGTTATTAGATTTACAGCTTCCGTTTTCGAAATTCAAGTTCAGGAATGGATTAACTAAATTTTATTCTGTTGGTGATGACATGCGATCAAGAGCTGGTTGTTTATTACTCCACAACTTTTAATTTACAATGTAAATTGAGGAGTTTTTAGTTCTTGTTCATCTTTTATATTTAAGATTTGTATAACTTTTATTTCATGCGATATCCCTCCTTAGAGTTAAGCTCACTGCGATTAATTATCAAAACAAGAGAATGATGAAACCTTACTTTGGTGATGACTCGCTCCAAGAATTCAGGAACTGAGATGTCAGGCGGTTGCTGAATGATAGCGGACGGGCAAACGGGCTAGCCTAATCGATAACTTTGAGTGACTTGCGCTGTCACAAGGCGCTTTTGTGACACACTTCAACTTCTGCGTATTGTTCGATGGATGCATTGTCACTGCCACGCTATAGCAACGTTGTTCATGTTTAATTCATTGAATCCCGGGGAAATAATTCATCTGAGAACAGACGAGGCAGCAGAGGCTTAAAGTGTATGGCTAACACGATGGGGACTCTTTGATTTTGCTCCTAGAAAATTAGAAACTTGACCTGTGTTGAAACCAGAGCGAAGAATAAAAACCCTATAAACGCTTTTATAGCCCTCATGTAGAACTCGCATGTCCTTAACAAATAAAAGACGGGAAGGTTGATGGCCAACTACTTGGTGATTCAAAAGACGTGGCGAAACAAGAGATATAATGAGCCGAACAATTGCACCCGACGTGCGTTTTGAACGTTGCATATTACTAAGCTTTCCTATGCCAAACAACAAGATAGAATCACCCACATTGCGTGATCTGATGGCAGAAAGCAATATAGAAAATAGAAACTTAAAATTTTCCTTCCTGAATTCAAAGCTGGTCAAACGCAATGCCTAATTCTAAGGTATAGCGCCGCAGGATATGATATACACAAGCAGCCATGCGCAAAATACTAACTAAAAATACATATTAAATTTTTTAGTCTACTCCTTTCTCGGCGATACCGTGCCGACTGCTTAAGATACCTTTTGTTTTTTTGACGTGATTTTTGACCATCACTATGCTGATACAATTTGGATATCATGATCAAGATCCCGCTTACTAAATGCACTTAGTATCATTATGCCATTTCTAAATATTTCTTCCCGAACATAAAGAGAAAGAAAAGTAACGTCGCAAGAGCTAATCGCAATAATATGTGATTTGTTGGTTTTATCGATCTTTCTCTGACAATCCCACAATACTGGGTTGATCTACAGTTTTGAAATTTTTCCACAGGTTTTAAGTCGGCTCAAGTTTCCCAGGTTTCACTGCTAGACGGAATACTTGAGATGGAAAACTCGAGACGGAATATTCGAGACGGTCAATCAAAGGACGCCCTTTAAGGATTAACCAAAGATACATAGGCAACACACGTTTATAAAGTTTGAGTACAGACAAGCAAACAAACTTATCGGTTTCGAACGTGCTTTCGACAACATACGTTTATAAAGTTTGAGTACAGACTTATCAGCCGAACATCCTACTGTCCTCGACTAATCTCTTTATCAGTGGTGGTTGGTGGCGAGAAGACTTCGCTTGGTGGCGAGTACGCTGGTGGCGAGATCGTTCCTTGGTGGCGAGTTCGCTGGTGGCGAGTCTGCTTGGTGGCGAGGTGACTGGATTCCACATAGGCTTGTCTGTCACAACAAGACGGCCTTAAAAATCACCGCCACCGATTTTTTTTAATATTAATCTGATTTTAGCACTTAACCCCGCTAAGCTGTGGATAAATTTGAAGACAAACTTTATTCCCACGGTCATGACGACCATCTGCATTAGTACTTACACTAATAGATCGTCCGTCTAGGGCGCACTTTTTCGTTCGCTATGCAACCGGATAGCTTTGAAAATTCTGGTTTTGTGTTTTAATCTTACCAGAGAACAAAACTGAATGGGAAGTCTCTCTTTCCCGCTGCAATATTCGCTCAAACAATCTTCTGGTGTTATACCAAATTCTATGGCGAACTACTATACATACGTATATATACATATATATATATATATATATATATATATATATATATATATATATATATATATATATATATATATATATATACATACATACATTTATATATATATATATATATATATATATAAAACATATACATACATATACACACATATTTATAAGTTATTCCACGGTTGGTGAGCGCGTACGATTTTTACACAACGAGTGAATGAAATTCATACAAGCGAAATAAACGCGAAATAACGTATTTATTATCTACATACCGAGATTCATAAGCGAACAGAACTCAAAGATAAACATGTCTTTAGTTTCTTTCCAATGAGACCAACGCACGGTCAAGCCGCTCCATAATTCGAGAGTTGCACTGAAGTGGCTTCCTTGTAAAATACTTTACATCTAAATTATCAAGCAAAAATGCTGTTAAAAGGCAGAACTAGATAGAATAAAATGAGACATCCTGAAAATATGTCGAAATAGTTCTACTAACCGTTATAAGGAACTCGTTAAGAAACTTGTTCAGCTTTTGAGGAGTCAATTCGTCCATTTGTATCGTCTCGCCTTTCAAAACAAGAAATTCGTGGAACAGAGCAACATGGTGTTTGGTCTTTATCTCGGTGTTTTTTAATTTTCCTGTCCGTCTATGAACTCTTATACTGATGAGTCTAGGCTCTGAAGACGGTTATTCTGATTTGAAGCCATCTTTCCAAAGAAAAATGCTTCTAAACTCTTAGAAATGTGCTACTTGTCAGTCAAGAGGAGCAGCAAGCGAGCGAGCGACACGGTTTTGTTCATAAGTGAAAATAATGATTGGCTTTATAATCAGAGCGTCGATACGTCGTTTTTCACTATGGCAACGCTGACGGCGATAATTCTACAACTAGTTGATGGGGCGTTACTAACTTTATTCCAACCCGCGTAAACTAAATCAGTGCTGGTAACACGCCGAGAGAAAAAATTAAGGACAAAACACCCCTTAAATACCCACTAATAAAAAAAAAAGACCCAAGAGACTACAAAGCATACTAGTTCACGCCCATCTCGATACGACACCTACTACTGAACGGATCCAAAAACGCACAGAATACAAATATATGCTAAACTTCGTATCAAAAATATTTTGCTATTCACTGTTATCAAAAAAAAACAATAAAATCGTATAGAACGCGCGATCAATCGGACTCATTTGGGTATAGAGATCTGACAGGGAGATAATCAAGGATCATGATCGATCTTGATACCCGATTCGCTAAGGCACAGACAAAACGCAGACTTCCGTCGTTTTAGAGCAAGCCCACAATACCGGACATTGCCTTCTCTGAAACGAAGTATAGTTTTTTGATAGGGATTTGCACTGTTGCAGTTTTCTTTCTCCCTTCTTTTTCCGTTTTGTCAATCTCGATTTTTATGTACTCAATAACAACTGATACGTATTCCCAAGTCGATTCATCCGTTCGTCATGCAGCCCACTTTATTTATATTAAGTTACACAAAGCAAATAACTGAACGGATTGTTCTATACATTTTATTGCTAGATTTCACCTCGCAACTGAT